TCTATGCAGGTGTTTTGGCGCACTGCGAGACCCAACCAACCGACTTACAACCCATAACTCGAGACGATGAAGGAATAATCATTGTCAACGACCAAACAGCTAATGTCCGGGTAGACAATGGTACTGAGGTCTGGCTGCACGGTACTCACCACTCACCACTCACCACTCTCCATCAACGAAACCCTCTACGTAAGTCATGACAAGATCCAAAGAAGAACTCCAGGAGTTGCAAGCTCACCATTGCTTAACATTACCATCAATCACGACGTATTGAGCCTCCCTTACCTTCATCGATGAACCGAACGTAATGTGGAGCTCATTCGAGAGTTCGACAAGGATATTGGGACCAATCTAAAATATCGAGCAATGCTCATAGTAGGAATTCTATGTTGTGCGATGATTGCCATTGTCATGATCTATCTCCATTTCTTCAAGGCAAGAAGATCTGCGGCACAGCTGAAGATAGCGGCGGCCGAGGGTGGCCTTAATTCAAAGGGGGGAGTAGTTAACAAGTCAACATAAACCAGCAAAAGTCAATGGACCACTGGACTGGACTCAATGGCCGCTTTTGTTGTTATTTAGCTTCGGCCGAAACTGCTGATCCAGCATTTAGCCCGGATGCTCGTGCACAGACGGCAAGCACTGCATATTTGCGTGGCCGCTGTGAGTCTTTTGTTAGCTTTAAGTTCCTTTTCAATTCAGTTTATATCAAAGCCTTGAATAAAGAGGACCAGCTCTGATAATATTTAACTCCGGCTACCGCCGTTAAAGATCTTATTATTTCACACTGACTGAGTCTCTAGGCCAGCAGGTAAAGAAGGGCAGTCACCCTTCCACCCTATTCTTCTTAATTTATCGACGGATGACAACAGCCAACCGGCTATCTTCACGGAGACGGCTGCGAGGGAACCTCTACGGAGTAAAATACTAATTTACATATGCAAGCGCAAGCGGTAATACATAAACACCGCTAGAAACTCACATCGCATCCGCGCATCATAGAGAACATTTTGGATTCCTCTTTTTGCCTTCGTTCCCGCTTTGAAACGTTTTACAGCGGCGACCAAACGTTTTTGTTCGCGAGTTCGTTGCACCCCCTTCCACCGCTATATTGCCATTTATGTGCAAATAGACGCACATACATTCCGTTAGTTTTTCGGTGGTCAAGAGTTTTTGGTACAGCACGCACTGCACAGTGGAATTTAATTATTTTGCGAGTGATAAAAGCTGAAAATAATAAAATAAATTTATTAAAATGTCAACCGAAACAACTTTAGCTGCTTCAGTTCAGGGAGTGAAGCATTTTAAATTGAAGGCGAAATCCTCTGAGAAGGCCTTGACTGTTGAGAAGCTCCAGGCGATGAGTGAGGAAGAATTAGAGCTTCGTGTTAAGCTCGCAGAGGAGAATAAGGCTGCATTTGCCCAGGTCCATGACAGTCTTGAGGAACTGGATTTTAATGAAATCGGCTGCCAGGTTCGCGATGATTTTGAAGAGCTCATCATATCAATACAAATCATGCTAAATCGAGAATTGGGTAAGCGTCAACGTCCAGCAATTCGAAGTTCTACGCTCAGGCCAGAGCCATCTCTAGATTTCCATTCTGTGCCGGCTAAAAGATCTCATTAGCCTGAATTGAGATTGCCGAATTTTCTGGTGGTTATACTGAATTTGTCGACTTTCAATCCATGTTCAAAGCTATCATCGACAATGACGTGGAGCTCACTAACATTGAGAAGCTTCAGCATTTAAAGTCTAGCCTGAAGGGTTGCGCCTTGGATACAGTGCGCTCATTAGAAATTTGTGACAGCAACTATGCTGTAGCCTTGGAGTTATTGAATATCCGTTTCAATAATAACCGTCAAATTTTCCAATCCCATATAACTGCAATTTTGGGTCTCCCTAAAGTGAAAATGCGGTCCGCAGCGAAGATGATAGATATATCTGATAAAATGAATGCTAATCTACGTGCTCTTCAGTCAATGGGCTCGCTTGAGCAAATCTCAAATTGCATTCTGGTTCATGTTTTACTCCAAAAATTAGATAGCAAAACTCAGGCCAATTGGGAAGAATCTGCGGCTATTGATGAAATTCCTTCGATTGATCAATTTACTACATTTTTGTCCAAGCGTTGTCCAAAATTGGAAAATGTAGAGCATACTGCAGCATTGTACTCATATAGTTCACAATCAGGAAGAAGCCGCAACAAAAGCATTTTAATTGCCACTAACACTTTTGGAAATGGATGTGTTGTGTGCGACAACAGTGGCCATTCAATTTATAGCTGTATTCGAAAGGTGAAGGAATTAGCGCTCTGTCTTAATTTCTTAAAGAAGGGCCATCAAATGCGCAATTGTAAGTCAGGCTGCTGTCGAACTTGCAGGTCAAAGCATCACACACTTTTGCACCTTGGCACTCAGTCTTCGACCCAGCGAGCTCCAGCTGCAGAACAATGTATGCCAATTGCAATCACTTCAAGCCCTTCTACCTCTTTGCTGGCTCAGAATGTGGATTCTGACATTGTCTTTCTTGCAACTGCAGTCATAAGCGTTCAAAGTCGATCAGGTGCTTGGATCCCATGCCGTGCGCTGCTAGACTCGGGATCTCAAGTCCACATTGTGACTTCCCGACTTGCTCACCAGTTGCAGTTGCATAAAACCAAGTCTACCATATCAGTTGCAGGTCTTGGAGATGCTCGATTTGACTCTGAAGGAGTATTCGTTTGCGTTAAGTTAAAGTCGCACACTTCTGATTACTTCGCATGCCTATCTGCTCTTGTTGCTCCAGCGATTACCGGCAATCAACCCAGTTTGACCGTTAAACCCGATGGTTGGAAAATTCCCTCGAATATTCAGCTGGCCGATCCGGATTTCTATAGATCTCGGCGAATAGATCTCCTTATTGGAGCAAGCATGTTCTTTGAGCTATTATCTGTAGGGCAGATTAAGTTGGCTGCTGGGTTACCCCTATTGCAGAAAACAAGGCTTGGTTGGATCGTTACAGGAGGTATATCTTCTACTCTCAAGGCAACTGCATTACACGGCCAAGCTGTGCACAGTGAATTGGTTGCTGCTGAAGTTCATATGGATGAATTAGTCCGTCGTTTTTGGGAAGTTGAGAGCTGTGGTGAAGGCGTGGTCACAGCCACCAAAGAAGAACTGGAGTGCGAAGCTTATTTCAAGACCAACTTTCGTCGTTTAGACTCTGGTGAATATTTCGTACGATTACCTGCGAAGAACACTCTAGAATTACTGGGTGAATCGTACAATCAAGCTTATCGTCGATTTCTCAATTTGGAGAGCAAGCTAGAGCGCTAGCCGGAAGTCGAGGTCCATTATTAGGCATTCATTCGTGAATATTTGCATTTGAAGCACATGTCGGTCGAGCCCAGAAACTCCTTGAGTCTTTGCAAATATTTTCTGCCCCACCACTGCGTTTTCAAAGAAGACAGCACCACGACTAAATTGCGAGTCGTTTTTGATGGGTCTGCCAAAACGTCAAGTGGACATTCGCTGAACGAGGTTCTCATGGCAGGGCCTACCATTCAACAGAAGCTGTTCAACACGCTGTTACAGTTTCGGACTTTCCCTGTTGCATTGACTGATGACATCTGCAATATGTATCGGTGTGTTCGCGTGGCTGAACCCGATAGCTATCTTCAATGTATTCTTTGGCATGACTCACCGGACCAGGAGGTGCAGGTATTCTAGCTTGATACCGTGACCTATGGAACTAAGCCTGCAGCCTTTTTATCCGTTCGCGCGATGCATTAACTGGCGAATGATGAGAAGAGCACATTTCCAATCGGTTCTAAAATCATTTTGTGGGACTTTTACGTTGATGATCTGATCACAGGAGGCCAATCAACACATGAAGTCCTCGAAATCATTTCTCAAACAACAAACTTGCTTGCACGAGGTGGCTTTAAGCTCAGGAAATGGTGTTCGAACGAGCGCGATGTCCTTGATAAAGTTCCTGACTCGGACAAAGAAACATTGCTGAAGTTTGACGATGGCAGCGACTTTACCAAGACAGTGGGTCTTGCTTGGGATCCTGCAGCGGATGTCTTTCGTTTTTCTTTTTCTTCCATACAGGTCTCTCCAAAGCCATGTAAACCATGCTTTCCACAATTGCTCGCGTGTATGATCCGCTTGGTCTCATTGGTCCTGTGGTTGCCAAGGCCAAGATCTTCCTGCAACAAGTCTGGAGAGAGAAGTTGGAGTGGGACGAGAGATTTCCTGAGGCACTCAACACATCATGGCTGAAGCTGTCATCTGATATGGGTCATACTCAGCAAATGAAGTTTCCTCGACGTGCGCTCCATCCAAATGGTGCTATTGAGATCCACGGATTCTGTGACGCTAGCATCGACGCATATGGAGGATGTATCTATCTCGTTTCAAAAGCTGATGGCAAGCGAGAAGTGCATCTATTTTGCTCAAAATCTCGTATGGCACCTTTGAAGACTCTCACTGTTCCCAAATTAGAGTTGTGCGTTGCTTTCTTACTGGCTCAACTGATGCGGGACGTAGGCAACATGAAGCTCTTCGATTGCCCGTTTTTTTGCTGGTCAGATTCTGCTGTAGCTTAATCATGGATAAGCGATGAACCTTCACGTTTTCAAGTTTTTATTGCTAATCGAATATCTTTAATTCAAGAGCTATCCAGCGGCATGAATTGGCGCTATGTACCGACCAACTGCAATCCAGCCGACATCTTGTCAAGAGGTGCTTCCCCGAGCGAGCTTCTGGAATCTGCCCTTTGGTTCAGAGGCCCAGAATTTCTTCTTAAGGCTCAGCGCGGTTGGCCTGAATCTTGTATGCCAGTGAAGACTCTTCCCGACCTCAGAAAGCGCATTTTGGTCGGCGTCGCTAAAAAAGTGGACCTATCTTCAAAATGCAAGTTCGTGAATTCTTGACAAAAGATCACCCACACTTTTGGATACGTATACAAATTTGTTCACCGCATAAGACGTTCTGGTCTCGATGTCGAAGATGTAAAAATGGGCACTCAGATGCTTATCAGATGCATCCAAATGAGCAGCCTGGCTGATGACTACTGGAGGCTGCATTCTAAGCGACAAATTACATCATCCAGCCCGTTGGCCTCACTTTCTCCATTCATCGATAGCTTTGGGCTGATGCGAGTTGATGGCAGACTACAAAATTCGTCCTTGGATTACAATGCGCAGCATCCTGTCATACTACCACGCCAGCATCCAGTTACAAGTGCTATCATACTGGACTTGCATCGGAAAAACTTGCATTCTGGTCCGCGAGCGCTGCTCGCTAACATGCGTCTTCAATTTTGGCCGATAGGTGGCCGAAAAACAGTATCATCTGCAACGTCCAAGTGCGTCATATGCTTCCGAGCTAAACCACAATTATCTCAGTATTTAATGGCTGACCTACCTTAGGATCGTGTAAATACAACATCAGCGTTCATGGTTACTGGACTGTATTTCTGCGGGCCATTTTGCTACAAAACCGGAGTTCGAAGCAAGGTGCCTGTGAAAACGTACGTCTGCGTTTTCATCTGTTTCGCGACGAAAGCGATCCACCTGGAGCTTGTTCAGGATCTTTCAACACAAGCGTTCTTGGGAGCATTGAAGCGGTTTATTCTCACCAGAGGCAAACCTGCCCGGATATGGTCAGATAATGCTACCAACTTCGTTGGAGCTAAAAACGAACTGGCTGAGCTGAAGAATCTATTCCTGACTGGCCCACACATTCGAGCTATAGAGGAATTCTGCGATTTATTCCCCCACGTTCGCCTCACTTTGGAGGCCTCTGGGAGGCTGCAGTGAAAACGGCCAAATTTCATTTTTATCGTTCGGTTGGCCCATCTCTATTATCATTCGATAAATTGCGTACACTAGTTTGCCACATTGCAGCAATTATTAACTCACGACCTTTACTACCTCTTTCAGAGAATCCAGCAGACCTTGAGGTGCTAACTCCTGCACACTTTCTTGGCACAGTTCCGCTGGTGTTGTACTCTGAGCCTGACGTCACAAAGCTAAATTTCAACCGTTTGGACCGCTGGCAGAGAATTGCTTATTTTCAACAAACGTGTCAAAGTGGCGCATCCCCAAACCTGCGCTACAAGTCAACGATGTCGTCCTGGTTCAAAACGAGAACTTGCCTCCTCTTAAATGGCCATTAGCCAGATCATGGAATTGGTGCCTGGATCTGATGGAGTTGCTCGTGTGGCAGTAATACGAACATTAACTGGAACCAAGTTGTGCGTCCTGCCGAAGCAAGATCTGGTTGAAAGAACTGGTCTTCCAACGGGGGGAGAATTTTCGGTCATGCCGCAGCCTAAATAAATTCTTAAAGTTTCTAATCTTAACGTAAATTGAATTCTCGATGTTTGTTTTTGCCTTTTCTATTTGCCCTGCGTGGCATCTCTTTCAATTACTGTAATTGCTACTCCTTTTTTGAATTCCTTCGCTGATCGCTGCCTGGCCCTTTGTCCACGGCAAGCATCTACTTAAGTTTTAGTTTCGATTTTGTACTCGCTCGCTGAAGGCACGGTCGCAGATCGCCTGCCCATTCTCTTCGTTTATACTTTCGCTGTTAAAAGGCACAGACAAATCGGTCTGCCTGCCCAACCAAATCTTAAACATAAACATTAAACTTTGTAATTAAGGCCTTGGTGTCATTTAGAATAAAATTAGTGCATATTTAATTGAAATCTTGTGCGGTTTTATTTTAATTGGGCACCATCAAAGGTTAGCGTTAGTGAAAAAGCTCACTGACCCAACAAACACCTTTATGACTTTTCCTTTTTTCCAAGTACTTCTCGGTTCAGTGGTGTCCATGACAAGTACTAAGTCGTCAACTTGAAATGGAGTTGTTTTATGAAGCCATTTAGTTCTACACATGAGTTGAGGGAGATACTCAACTATCCACCTCTTCCATAAGCGATCCTTAAGGGCTTGAGCGATCCTCCATTGCTTCCTTAGGCAATTAGCTTCATCCGTTGGGTGTGGGGTTTGCGTTGAATTTGTGCATCCCATTAAAAAATGATTTGGTGTCAAAGGCTCTTCTGCTTCATGTGTTAAGGGAATTTCAGTTAAAGGTCGCGCATTCAGAATGTTTTCCGCCTCTATCAATACTGACTGAAGAGTCTCAACGCGTGGTTAAATATCGCGTAAAGTCTTCTTCAACAATCCCTTTAAGATTCGATTTAACCTTTCCCAACACCCACCGGCGTTAGGTTGAATTGGGCAGTTGAAGATCCACTTAAGACCCTTTTGAACCGCTTCGTTTGCTATTGTATCGAAATCCAACAAACTCTCATGATCCTTGAGCTCCTTATTAGCACCGATGAAGTTTGTGCCGTTATCGCTTCGAATAATTACAGGTGTACCCCTACGGTTGACGAAATTTCGTGGACAGATTATAAATGCATCTGTTGAAAGGTCTGCAGCTTGTTCAAGATGAGTTGCTCTGCATGTCATGGAAGTAAAGATAACGGGCCAGCGTTTTTCGTGGCGGCGACCGACTGATACGGATAGTGGACCAAACAAATCCACCCCTGTATGTGTAAATGCTCTAACGTAGGGTGTTAGCCGATCAGGTGGCAATTGACCCATCTGTGGGGTTTTCGGTAATCCTCGGTCTATAATACATCTAAGCATTCGATTGTTACTTTGTTCAGCAATTTCCTGGCATGCGGAATCCAAAACTTTTGTCGACTTTCGTTGATTATAACCGCCTGATTTTGATGATGATATTTTACATGAAAATATCTCATGATAAGGGTGGACACCTTGTGATCTTTCGGAAGCACAATAGGTCGCCGCCTCGAGCTTGGTAGATATGATGCCTCATCTATTCGACCCGCGAGGTGTAACAGGCCATATGTCTCTATGTAAGGCGAAAGTCCATAATTTGCACTATCCTTTGACAGCATTTTGTTGTTTAGTAATGACGTGATCTCATTTGCGTATGCCTCTTGCTGGACTAGTCTACATATCTCGATTTCAGCATCACATAGTTCGTCGGCAGTCAAAGATCCTCTCTTGGGTGTAAGTTAAATTATTTTTGGACGCATTACCCAAGCTACAACACGCTTCAGATTACTGTAAGAAGAGAATCGATTAAAATCTATTACTGAAACTCCTACCTGACACCTCAGCAATTTGCGTTCGCAAAGTTCCTCTTCCAATGGTTCCGTTAAAGCTATGTCAATCATCTGTGCCCAGTCTGAACGTGGCGATTTCAAGAAGCTTTGACCAAGTAACCAAGGACTGTCGTTACATATTTTTGGTTTACTTAAACGAGTGGCAGCGTCCGCGGTGTTCAAGTTGGATGGTACCCAGTTCCATTGCGCTGATGTAGTAAAATCCACTGTAGTACGGTTTTGGAATCACTCCAAAACAAGATGTCTTCTATAGGTAGCTTAAGATGTTCTTGTAGCAAGCGATTTAATCGAACCCCAAGAATGGCAGCTTGCAGTTCCAACCTAGGGATAGAAAGGAGTTTCTTCGGAGCTAAGCGCGTTTTTCCCATGACAAAGGCAACATCAAATTTAGTTGGACTAAGAACACATAAATAGGCTACAGCTGCAAAAGCGGCCTGGCTTGCGTCAACAAAAATATGCATTTCCAATTTTTCATAACCACTTAAGTTGGGAGAGTATACTCGCGGAATTTTGAAGTGGTGCATATGACACAGTTCTGATAGTCAGTAGTTCCAATACATGCCCAAGACCTTTTCACTGCTCAATTGGTTCTGAAGATAACTTGACTGCCTTTGGAAGTTTTTACCATTCATGACGCTCTGTAATGTATCGGAATTCGAACAAAAATTACGTAGTTCGAAACCTCCATAACCATGGACCTTAACAATTTGTTTACAGATTTCGATGCCTTCTTCCTCTGAAGTAAAACTTATGACGAGATCATCCACGTAATGATGTTCAATAATAGCATATGCTGCCCTTGGAAATTGCTCTCTGTACTCTTCAGCATTGCGATTCTTGACATAATCGGCACAAAATGGTGTATGCTCACCACGAATAATGTCGAATTGGCTGAGTCGAGTCTCCATTTCTCCATAAAAAGCGCTGTGCGTGTTGATCAGTGTTGATCACAAGATTGGAAGAATCACTAATTTCAGAGGTACTAAGTTCTCGAGCGTAGTCCCTTGAGAGATATTTGGCCATTTCCGATTTGTATTTTTTAGCAAACTCTGAGTTAGCGTTCATTTTCCCCTCGATTCCATGTAACCTCTTTTCAGCCATCTTGTAACTATTAGTCATAGTTACGTTTTCCTTCCATGGTAATCCTATTTCAAAATGTTTTCCAAATCGAATTGTTTTTTCGGTCAACAGCCTTTTGCTCTGATATCATCAACGGATTCCATTGGAGGCAAATTATTCAATCCAAAATTTTCAGATTCCACGAACTCGGTAACTACATCCTGCCATTTGGTCTCTGTTTCCACGAAATGTACGTGAAATGTCTCTACATTGCGTTCTTTTGACATTTGCTGCACCGTGCACGCGTGTACACCGGCTATTTCAAGTCTTACTCTTTCAGAAATTTCCACACTCTTTTTGTTATCATACCACTGTAGAGTTAATGGAAATTGTTTACCTTTTAAGCCCAATTGGTCTGCGATAACTTCCTCCAACAAGGTTACTGCACTTTCGTCGTCAAACATGGCGAATGTTTCCATTTTTCCATTTGGTCCATACAAATTAACTGAGATGATTTTGAAAAGGTATGGAAGTGCGTCTGTAGAGTTTGGATAGCAATTGAGTAAAGGCTTCGAATCCGTGGGTTGAGGAAGTTCCGAGTGTGTGGAATTATGCAACCTTGAATTGCTCAAATTCGCTTGTTTCTGCAAATCTGCAAGCTATGTCCATTTTTAAGGCATGCGAAGCCCAAACGCTTCTCTTTTACAATGTCCCATCGCGATTTGACATCAGTTTGTTCATTCCAAATTTTGCATTAGTCAAAATTATGCTCTTCTTTGCACAAAATGCAGCCTGCAGACTGTGTGTGTATTTGCGATAAATACTGGCTTTGAGTTGCGTGTAGGTAATTGTCTTCCTGAAGTATCCACCACTGCTGGTAATCGACCCACTATTCTTGCAGTAGAGCTCAACCAAGAGGAAAATTCGGTGATAAAAGTAGATACGGCTTTACTCTCTGCGCTCTTGAGCCATTCCATCTGCAAATGAGTGGGAAGTTTTGTTAGAAGTTCTTCTAATAGGATTGGGTTATGTAAGTGCTCGTTGTGGTTGGACGCTGATAAAAAATTAACCACTCCACGAACATTCGTTGAGAAAGTTACAATCTGTTCAGGCTTATTATATGGCACCTTTGGGAATTCTTGAATTCTTGTTAGTTGAGCGCGAATTAGCAATTCCGGCCGACCAAATCTAAATTCCAGTTCTTCCATGACATCTCGTACGTTGTCGGAATATATAAGTAGGGATGCCACTGTTTCTTTGGCTTCTCCAACCAAGCATTTTCAGATTCTGCAAATTATTGTACTGAAAATAAGTTGTTGAGTCATCGAAACTTCTTTTAAACAGCGGCCATTCTTCAGTATTTCCAGAACACTTAGGTAGATAATGAAGGACTACGGTGGAGCCCTGAGGATTTTGAATATTCGCGTACAAAGGTTGTTCATAGCATCCGTTGGAGTCAGTATTATTTTCTTTACCTGTTCTTTGTTTACTCTCATCGATCAGATAGAGATTTAATCTCACGTTGATTACTCTGTATTCCTGAATGTGCATTTCGAATATCATGTTTAATACTTTTCATGTCTGCTCGGAGCGCTG